TGCCCTGCGGGGAGAGGGAAGGGGGAGGAAGGAGGAGCGCGAGAGTCCCACTTTTAAAGGTTTCCTTTCCTTATTTTGTTTTGATTTTATTTTTTATTTTAATTTTATTTTTTGCAAATTTTACTTCCTGATTTCCAGAGCTCGGCCTCCCATTCCCCCCCAAAAAAATCCCAATGGTGGTGGGGGGGAATAAAAGGAGATTCTTACCATCTGCAAAAGGGAGAGAAAGAGAGGAAGAAGGGCGGTTGAGCAAACTGGAAACCTTTTAAAGATGGTCCCACCAGTGCATTGCTTACGTTGATGAACTCTTATAATATATATTATATTATAAATAACATATATATACATATTTTCTTTCTTTTTTTTTTCCAAGTTGATTTTTGGGGTTGTCTTATTTTTATTTTATTTTTTTTGAAATTTGGTTTCAATTCGTTTTTGGATTTTTTTTTTTCCTTTCTCTTTTTAAAAACCGTGGCAGGGACGGGGGGAAAAGAGAGGCGGGGCTCTGGAGAAAAGCAGGAAGGGGCGGGACTTAGGGGGGCGGGGCAGGCCTGTCATTGGACCGATCCGGCGCAGGGAGGAGGAGGAGGAGGAGGGAGGGCGTTTCCCTGCGCAAACAGCGATTGCGAGGACGAGGGGCAGAGGGGATGCTGTTCCGTCTGGTGTTGTAGCCATCTCGAGAACAAGGGGGGGAAAAACACATACAAAAAAAAAGGACAATAAAAACAGACAAAATGTTAAAACGGGCGCCGTCTCCAGTTGCATTTGTTAAAGGAGAAGTTGGGAGGGAGGGCTCTGAATGCGTTGGGGTTTGCCTCGATTCTAAGACAAACCTTCACCCCGTATAAATATCCCTAAAAATATGGGGTGTAGCTTAGAAACTGTTGGAGGAAAGTGCTGAGAGTGCCTTGGACTGCGAGAAGATCCAACCAGTCCATCCTCCAGGAAATAAAGCCCGACTGCTCATTGGAGGGAAGGATACTAGAGACAAAGTTGAAGTACTTTGGCCACATCATGAGGAGACAGCAAAGCCTAGAGAAGACCAATTATGCTGGGGAAAGTGGAAGGCAAAAGGAAGAGGGGCCGACCAAGGGCAAGATGGATGGATGGCATCCTTGAAGTGACTGGACTGACCTTGAAGGAGCTGGGGGTGGTGATGGCCGACAGGGAGCTCTGAGGAGACAGCAAAGCCTAGAGAAGGGAATGATGCTGGGGAAAGTGGAAGGCAAAAGGAAGAGGGGCCGACCAAGGACAAGGTGGATGGATGGCATCCTTGAAGTGACTGGACTGACCTTGAAGGAGCTGGGGGTGGTGACAGCCGACAGGGAGCTCTGGCGTGGGCTGGTCCATGAGGTCACGAAGAGTCAGAGACGACTGAACGAATGGACAACAACATCTTAGAGACACAGGTTCTTTTCTCAAATTGTACACTCTGTGTGTGTATATCTTAATATATAAAAAGCTTCGGTGCTTCATAAGTAGCCTAAAAACAAAAGAACCAATGAACGAAATCACCAAATTTGGCAACAAAACGTCTCGCGACACAAGGAGTGACCATCATTCAAAAAATTATGATTTTGTCATTTAGGAGTTGTAGTTGCTGGGATTTATAGTTCACCTATAATCAAAGAGCATTCTGAACTTCATCAAAAATGGAATTGAACTAAACCTGGCACAAATGACCAACAGAAAACACTGGAAGACACCTGGAATATTGTGTCCAATCCTCGGGCACCACAATTCAAGAGAGATATTGACAAGCTGGAATGTGTCCAGAGGAGGGCGACTAAAATGATCAAGGGTCTGGAGAACAAGCCCTATGAGGAGCGGCTTAAGGAGCTGGGCATGTTTAGCCTGAAGAAGAGAAGGCTGAGAGGAGACATGATGAGGGCCATGTATAAATACGTGAGAGGAAGCCACAGGGAGGAGGGAGCAAGCTTGTTTTCTGCTTCCCTGGAGACTAGGACGCAATGGAAGAATGGCTTCAAACTACAAGAAAGGAGATTCCATCTGAACATGAGGAAGAACTTCCTGACTGTGAGAGCCGTTCAGCAGTGGAACTCTCTGCCCCGGAGTGTGGTGGAGGCTCCTTCTTTGGAAGCTTTTAAGCAGAGGCTGGATGGCCATCTGTCAGGGGTGCTTTGAATGCAATATTCCTGCTTCTTGGCAGAATGGGGTTGGACTGGATGGCCCAGGAGGTCTCTTCCAACTCTTTGATTCTATTATTCTATGAAGGGTTTGGTGGGCATTGACCTTGAGTTTGGGAGTTGTAGTTCACCTACATCCAGAGAGCACACTGGACTGAAAGAATGATGGATGTGGACCAAACTTGGCACAAATATTCCATATGCCCAAATATGAAAACAGATGGAGTTTGAGGGAAATAGACCTTGACATTTTTGGAGTTGTAGTTACTGGGATTTATAGTTCACCTACAATCAAAGAGCATTCTGAACCCCACCAATGAAAGAATTGAGGCAAACTTCCCAACAAGTGACTAAAAACACTGAAAAACACAGCAGAAGAGACTTAAAAACTCAAAAAAACAAAAATTACATTACAATGAATGCACAAAGCCACATACACAGACACACATATACACATATATACACACACAAAACACATATACACAGACTGGGCCACAGCAACGTGTGGCAGGGGACGGTTAGTAATATATAAAAAGCTTCGGTGCGTCGTGAGTAGCCTAAAAACAAACAAACTATGGGGCCAGCTGACATCAAATTTCATAGTGTCATAGAATCATAGAATCCAAGAGTTGGAAGAGACCTCCTGGGCCATCCAGTCCAACCCCATTCTGCCAAGAAGCAGGAATGTTGCATTCAAATCACCCCTGACAGATGGCCATCCAGCCTCTGTTTAAAAGCTTCCAAAGAAGGAGCCTCCACCACACTCCGGGGCAGAGAGTTCCACTGCTGAACGGCTCTCACAGTCAGGAAGTCCTTCCTCATGTTCAGATGGAATCTCCTCTCTTGTAGTTTGAAGCCATTGTTCCGCGTCCTAGTCTCCAGGGAAGCAGAAAACAAGCTTGCTCCCTCCTCCCTGTGGCTTCCTCTCACATATTGATACATGGCTCTCATCATAGCTCCTCTCAACCTTCTCTTCCTCAGGCTAAACATGCCCAGCTCCTTAAGCCATTCCTCATAGGGCTTGTTCTCCAGACCCTGGATCATTTTAGTCGCCCTCTGGACACATTCCAGCTTGTCAATATCTCTCTTGAATTGTGTTGCCCAGAATTGGACACAATATTCCAGGTGTGGTCTAACCAAAGCGGAATAGAGCATGGGGAGCATGACTCCCCTGGACCTAGACACTATGCTCCTCTTGATGCAGGCCAAAATCCCATTGGCTTTTTTTGCCACCACATCACATTGTTGGCTCATGTTTAACTTGTTGTCCACGAGGACTCCAATTTGGCCTCCAAACGTCTCATACCGCAATTTTAAAAAAACCCCAAGACCGTGAAAATAGCTTTAAAATTGGGTTGTTGTAGGTTTTTCCGGGCTATATGGCCATGTTCTGGAGGCAATTTTTCTCCTGACGTTTCGCCTGCATCTATGGCAAGCATCCTCAGAGGTAGTGAGGTCTGTTGGAACCACGCATGTGCAAAACCTAGCTCCGCCTTCTCTTGTGCGAGAGGGGGAAACAAACAGCCATCCCTAGCAAAGCAGCTTGCTGTCCCTGCTTCAGGAGCCAAGCCGAGAAGCCAGAACAGCCCAGCAAAGCTGCTCTGAAAAGCAGCCTTTAGAGCCTTCTCAGAGAGAGAGGGAGAGGATTAGTTAGTTTTTGCAGCCTAATAAAGTTTCCCCATATTTTTTTGTGATAGAACCAATTAGGAATTGACAAAAATGACAAAAATCATGTTGCCTGATTGCGTCCTGATTCTAGTTTGTGTTCATGTGGGATCACGAGGGGTGCCTTTCAACAACTCTCCGGCCCTTTGGACTCAGTCGTAAATGTTGTTTACATCCACGGCAAGCATAGAATTGTGCCCTCTTGGTCCACATACCCATCTCACCTTGTAGATACGCATGACTGTCCTTTTGGCACCGGGATTGTGGCGCAGCTGGCTGAGTGTCAGCTGCATTAAGATCACTCTGACCAAAAGGTCATGAGTTCGAAGCCAGCCCGGGTTGGAGCGGGTTTCCAACCAATTGTGTGTAGCCTGTTGTCGACCTTTGCAACCCGAAAGACAGTTGCATCTGTCAAGTAGGAAAATTAGGTACCATCTTAAAAAGTGTGGGGAGGCTAAATTAACTGATTTATGGGGCCATAAAGAAGACGCCAGCAAAGCACTCCAGCGGGGAAGCATGCGGGGAACGCGGAAGTGCTTCATCAGCGTCGCAGATGGACGATGAAAGTGACAGCTCCCCTGGCGGCCAGAAAAAGTTAAATAGTGTCGGGTTGTTGTAGGTTTTTCCGGGCTATATGGCCATGTTCTGGAGGCAATTTTTCTCCTGACGTTTCGCCTGCATCTATGGCAAGCATCCTCAGAGGTAATGAGGTCTGGTGGAACTAGGAAAAATGGGTTTATATATCTGTGGAATGACCAGGGTGAGACAAAGGACTTTTGTTTGCTGGGGCTAGCTGTGAATGTTTCAGCTGGATCACTACCTCTGAGGATGCTTGCCATAGATGCAGGCGAAACGTCAGGAGAAATGCCTCTAGAACATGGCCCTATAGCCCGAAAAAACCCAAAAGAACCTAGTGATTCCAGCCATGAAAGCCTTCGACATAGAAAAAGTTAAATAGCCTCTGTGTATGTCTGTATATGTTGTATGTCAAAATTGGCATTGAATGTTTGCCATATATGTGTACACTGTAATCCGCCCTGAGTCCCCTGCGGGGTGAATATAAAAGCTGTAAATAAATAAATAAATAAATTGGCCCATCCTTACCTTCCTACCTGGCCCCAGGTGAAGAGCACTGGCCGTCCATTCGTGCCACATATCCCCCAAAAGAAAACAAACCTGCGACTCACATAATAATATGTATTTATTGCAGCACGGTTCCACCTTTGCTAGGTTCGGTTGCTCACATACATTCTGGGCAAATACTCCTCGCCAAGCATTAGTCCTTGCCGTGCCCAGGTAAGGCCACATATTTCAAAACTTGACCTATGGCAGAAGTGGGCCAAGTCCCACAAACCGCAACATCGCCATGGTCCATTGCACCAGAACTGGGTGGGCATCTTTATGACTTCCTTCGGACCGCGTTCGGAGCCTTTCCAAATCCAAAAAGGTTTCCTTTTATAGCTCTGATGATGTTTCCTAACACAAAGCAGTCGGTTTGGACCAAAGGGCAGAACCTTCATGTCTTCTTCATCCATGGATGCCTTTCTCAGCCAACGGTGAGTCTCTCGGTGGCTTTTCTGCTGCTTCTGGCAGGTAGGCCTCACCTTTTGTAAAAGCCAACCTCTAGATAAACTAACGTCCCTTCTTCCCTGATACACAGCCCTTCGGATGTTGCTGGACTACAACTCCCAGCATCCCCTTCCACTGGCTTTTGCTAAGCCATAGCCCCATTCTATCCAGAAGGACACATACTGGGGTGTTGCGTGGTTTCATATTTCCCACTCCGGCATTGAGTAATGGCTCTTCCGGACATCATTGCAGCTGTTCCTCCATCAAGAAGGAACCTCAAAGTCCTTCAAGTCCCAATATCCTCTGAAAGGGTCAAGCCGTTGTCTTTGGGATGCACAACGACAGGGCATTTGGACGACTGGCCTCTCCATCTCACGCCACCAAAACACTTCTTTCGGTCTTAGAAACCAGCAATGCATCCATCAGGATCTGAATTGGGCCACTGAATTGTCCAGATTCATTATCATTATGCCTTGCCAGCAGTGCAAATCCCAGCATTAATGTGCTTCTTTATGGCAGTGGGTTTCAATCGCTTTGCCCCCCTATCCCACCCCACCCCAATGGGACGGACCCAGCATCTCCCAGATTGATGGAAGGAGGCCAAAGTGGTCCAGAAATCCTTGTGGGTATTGCAAAGACGTCTGTGGCAAAGGTGACGATGCCTCACTTGGTTGCCCGTTGGATGCCTTCATGGCTGCATGGGCCAGGTCTCCTGCTCCAATGGTGGTGGTGGTGGTGGTGGTTGTGGCTGCAATGCCTGGCCCTGGAGGCTCTGCTGGGTCTGCCAGAGCTGGTGGAGCTCCTTGAACTGCTCCACCATCCGGTCCTTGAGGTCCGGGTGCGAGATCTGGAGGCGGACGCTGTCGGCCGACCAGGAGAGCTCCCCGGAGAACATCTCCAGCAAGAGCCGGGCCGCCACCGGAACCACCTGGAAAGGGAGGAGGGAGAGCAAAGGAGAGTAACAGTCAAGGAATAATAACACAGTCATCATCTCTGTCTTTTTTCCGTTATGAAATACACTACACTCGGAAGTAGCCACACAGGAATCATGAATAGTTGGATTGATGGATGGATAGCAGATGCTATGAATGGATGGATAGAAAAAGAGAGCGAGAGGTCGTGAATAGTTGTAGTGTATCTGGATAGATAGGTAACATGGATACCTATTTGGATGGATGGATGGAAGGATGGATGAAAGGAAGGAAGAGAGAGAGAGTTACCTTGATGGATGGTTATAGATAGAATAGTTATTTGGATGGATGGATGGATGGATAGGAAAGGAGGAAGGGAAAGAAAGATGCCATGAATAGTGATCGGAATGAAGCGAGCAAGCGAGAGAGATATCAAGAATAGTTATAGTTATCTGGATATATAGAGAACATTAATAGTTCTGCTATGGCAAGCATCTTCTGAGGATGCTTGCCATAGATGCAGGCGAAACGTCAGGAGAGAATGCCTCGAGAACATGGCTATATAGCTCGAAAAAACCTACAACAACCCAACATTAATAGTTGTTTGCATGGATGGATTAAAGAGAAAGAAGGCAACATTGATGGATGGATAGAATAGTTATTTGGATGGATGGATGGATGGATGGATGGATGGATGGATGGATGGATGGATGGATGGATGTCATGAGTAGCTGTTTAGATGGATGGATGGATGGAAGGAAGGAAAAAAAGAACAGAAAAAGATGAAGCGAGCAAGAGATATGTCATGAATGGTTATAGTTATATGGACAAATAGATGTCATAAATATGGTTGTTTTAGGTTTGTTTGGATGTAAGAAAGAGAAAGTGATCTGGATTGATGGATAGATAGATTGAATAGTTGGATGGATGGATGGATGGATGGATGGATGGATGGATGGATGGATAGCTAGATGTCATGAATAGTGGATGGATGAATGGATGGATGGATGGAGATGGATGGATGGAAGAAGGAAGGAAGAGAAGGAAGGAAGAGGAGAAGGAAGGAAAAAAAGAAAGAAAGAAAGATGCTATGAATCATTATTAGAATAAAGCAAGTGAAATTGATTGAAGGAAGAGTGAGAGAGAAAGAAGTAAAGAATGAATAAAGTTACCTGGATGGATGGATGGATGGATGGATGGATGGATGGGCAGATAGATGCTATGAATAGTTATTCCAATAGATGGATGGATGGAAAGAAGGAAGAAAGATGTCACAAATAGTTGTAGTTTATCTGGATAGATAGATGTCATGGATGAAAGGGAGAGAGGGAGGGAGAGAAAGAAAGAAAAAGGGAAAGAAAGAAAGAAAGAAAGAAAGAAAGAAAGAAAGAAAGAAAGAAAGAAAGAAAGAAAGAAAGAAAGAAAGAAAGAAAGAAAAAATCTGGATGGATGGATAGATAGAAGAGTTAATTGGATGGATAGATGTCATGAATAGTTGTTTGTTTGGATGGATGGATGGATGGATGGATGGATAGATGGAAAGAAGGAAGGAAGAGAAAGGAAGAAAGAAAGAAAGAAAGAAAGAAGAAGAAGAGAAAGAAGGAAGAGAGAAGAGAAGGAAAAGAGAAAGAAAGAAAGAAAGAAGAAAGAAAGAAAGAAAAGAAAGAAAGAAAAGAAAGAAAGAAAGAAAGAAAAAAGTTAGGGATGGAGAGAAGAAAGAAAGATGTCATGAATAGTTGTAAGTTTATCTGGATAGATAGATGTCATGGATGGATAGAAGGGAGAGAAAGAGAGAGAAAAGAAAGAAGGAAAGTAAAGTTATCTGGATGGAAGGATAGATAGAAGAGTTATTTGGATGGATGGATGGATAGAAGAGTTATTTGGACGGATAGAAGAGTTATTTGGATGGATGGATGGATGGATGGATAGAAGAGTTATTTGGATGGATGGATGGATGGATGGATAGATAGATAGATGAGTTATTTGGATGGATGGATGGATGGATGGATGGATGGACAGATAGAAGAGTTATTTGGATGGATGGATGGATGGATGGACAGAGTTATTTGATTGGATGGATGGATGGAAAGAAGAAAGAAAGATGCCATGAATAGTTATTGGAATGAAGCAAGTAAGAGAGACATCAGGAATAGTTATAGTTATCTGGATTGACTGATAGATAGATAGATAGATAGATAGATAGATAGATAGATAGATAGATAGAATAGTTATTTAGATGGACAGACTGGCGAACGGATGGACAGACATCCCATACTCCAAATATCTCAGGGGATGTATAGCAAAAAACCAACATAATTTGAAACATTATCAATGCTTGTAAGATTGAAAACCATACGTGAATAAATGACTAGACACACCCCGAAAGAGCGCTGCTGCCCACTTACTTGGACGGTGATGAGCTTCTTCTCTTTGGGCTTCCGGTCCGGCCATTCCTCTCCGAAACAGAAGAAAATCTCGTAGGGAGGGGGAGTGGTGCTTTGCCCCTTCTGGAACATAATGAGGCCTATAGATAGATAGATAGATAGATAGATAGATAGATAGATAGATAGATAGATAGAGCGAGAGAGAGAGAAATCATTTTTAAAATGGAGAAGACAATAGTTCAATTCAGTGAACAGGAAGCTGGATAAAACTGAGGCATAAGATTTGGGACAGCATTCATCCAATTATTAAATTATCAGGATGCTATAGCGTCTTGGGATCTATAGTTTTCCAGCTGGGAATTCAAAGGACTGCACAAAACTCTGCCTTTCTCTTTGTTGCCCCTTTCTCTGGTTCAGAAACTTCGTTATTATCCGTATTGATATTATTATTAAGCTGTGTGTATGTATTAGTTTGGAGTCCTAAACTGGGCAAAGTCCTAACACTAACAATAACACTGCTACTGCTGCTGATGGCTGGATAATTATAGGTTGCATCTACACTGACTAATCAATGCAGTTTGATGCCAGATCAAGACCTTGCAAACGAGAGCTCCCAGGATCCCGTAGCAATGAGCCTTGGCGGTTCAAGTGATGCCAAACTGCTTTAATCATACAGTGCGGGTGCAAGGTATGGACTCAAAGACTCCTTGAGCCTGAAGGGACCACCAAAGGCCATCCAGTCCAGCCCCTTTCAGAGAGGGCAACCCAGCCTGAGCTTCATGGAGAAATGAGGTCTGCTGACCGTTGAGGAAGCTCTCGAGGCTGAAGAGCTTGACCTTCTTCTCCCTCTCGATGGGGTTGGGCCCGTCCAGGGGTCCGGCGCAGGGCCCCGTCCAGAAGACCTTGCACTGGCAGAGCCTCACGGCGTAGATGTCCTGGCCCTGCAGCTCCAGGATGAGGCCGCGGTCCAGCACGTCCAGCAGCTGGTGCGTGTAGAAGCGCTGCTTCTCGTGCGGGACGGCCTCCGCGCTCGGCAGGCGCACCTGCTCCAGCGTGACCGGTCCAAAGAGCTCCACCTGCTCCTGCGTGGGCTCCAGGTGGCTGTAGAAGAGGCGGCAGCCGTGCGGGTTGCTGATGGTCAGCGAGCCCACCGAACGGCCCCGGTACTGGAAGCGGATCTCCAGGTCTGTCACTGAGAAGAGAGGGACAGAAGGCAGAGGGGTGAGGAGGGATGGGAGGGAACCCCAAAGGCCATCCTGTCCACCCACTCCTATCAGAGGTGGACATCCAGCCTCTGCTCAAAGACCTCCAGAGGAGGAGGCCACACCAGGTTCCAAGGCAATGCATATTCCAACAAAGGTCGAAGGGACCTCCAAAGACCATTCCGTCCACCCACTTCTTCCATCCAAACCCTTCCAAGAGATGGACGTCCCATCTCTGCTTACAAACCTCCAGAGAAAGAGACCAGACCAGGTTCCAAGGCAATGTATAATCTAATCGAGGTTGAAGGGACTCCAAAGGACATCCAGTCTACCCACTACTTCCATTCAAGCCCTTCCTAGAGATGGACACTCAGCCTCTGCTTACAAACCTCCAAAGAAAGAGACCACGCCAGGTTCCAAGGCAACGCATATTCCAATAGAGGTCCAAGGGACCATCAAAGGCCATCCAGTCCACCCACTTCCATCCAAGCCACCCCAACAGATGGATCCTCAGCCTCTGCTCAAAGACCTCCACAGAAGGAGGCCACTCCAGGTTCCAAGGCAATGTATATTCCAAAAGAAGTCGAAGGGACACCCAAAGGCTATCAATTTCACCCACTTCTTCCATCCAAGCCCTCCCAAGAGATGGACATCCCGTCTCTGCTTACAAACCTCCAGAGAAAGAGACCAGACCAGGTTCCAAGGCAATGTATATTGGCATGGAACTGAGACGGCCTTGGTCGCCTTAGTGGATGATCTGCGCCGGGAGCTAGACAGGGGGAGTGTGTCCCTGTTGGTGCTCCTGGACCTCTCAGCGGCCTTCGATACCGTCGACCACGGTATCCTTCTGGGGCGCCTTGCGGAAATGGGCCTTGGGGGCACTGCTCTGCAGTGGCTCCAGTCATTTCTGGAGGGCCGCACCCAGAAGGTGTTATTGGGGGACTCCTGTTCAACACCACAGCCTTTGACCTGTGGGGTTCCACAGGGTTCTATACTGTCCCCCATGCTGTTTAATATCTACATGAAGCCGCTGGGTGAGATCATCTGGAGTTTCGGGGTGCGGTGTCATCTGTACGCAGATGATGTCCAACTCTGTCACTCCTTTCCACCTGCTACTAAGGAGGCTGTCGAGGTCCTGAACCGGTGCCTGGCCGCTGTAACGGTCTGGATGAGGGCGAACAAATTGAAATTGAATCCAGACAAGACAGAGGTACTCCTGGTCAGTCGCAAGGCCGAACAGGGTATAGGGTTACATCCTGTGCTGGATGGGGTCGCACTCCCCTTGAAGGCGCAGGTTCGCAGCTTGGGTGTGATCCTGGATTCATCGTTGAGCCTGGATCCCCAGGTTTCGGCGGTGACCAGGGGAGCTTTTGCACAGCTTAGGCTCGTGCGCCAGCTGCGCCCGTACCTTGGGAAGTCTGACTTGGCCACGGTAGTACACGCTCTGGTCACATCCCGCCTTGGACTACTGCAACGCTCTCTACGTGGGGCTGCCCTTGAAGACGGCCCGGAAGCTCCAGCTAGTCCAGCGCTCGGCAGCCATGTTACTAATGGGAGCGGGACGCAGGGAGCACACAACGCCCTTGCTGTCCCAGCTCCACTGGCTGCCGATTGCTACCGGGCCCAATTCAAGGTGCTGGTGTTGGCCTACAAAGCCCTAAACGGTTCCGGCCCAAAATACCTGTCTGACCGCATCTCGGCCTATGAGCCCACGAGGACTTTGAGATCGTCCGGGGAGGCCCTTCTCTCGATCCCGCCCGCCTCTCAGGCACGCCTGGCGGGGACTAGGGATAGGGCCTTCTCGGTGGTGGCCCCCCGGCTGTGGAACACCCTCCCTGTGGACATCAGAATGGCGCCCTCCCTCGTGACATTCCGCAAAAAACTAAAGACATGGCTCTTTGAGAAGGCGTTTGTGTAAGTGCGGCAACAATTGGCAATGACGATTAGAATGGAACATGGATAATGAGATTCGGATTGCGATTCAACGATGAGACGTGGCGAATGCTTTAGTATAAATGTATTATTGATAGTATTGTTGTTTATTGTTGTTGTGTAATTGCTTTGTTGAAATTGTACCTGGTTTTATATGTTGTACACCGCCGTGAGTCGCCCTAGGGCTGAGAAGGGCGGTCTACAAATGTAGTAAATAAATAAATAAATAAATAAATAAATAAATAATCGAGGTTGAAGGGACCCCCAAACACCACCCAGTCCACCCACTACTTCCATCCAAGCCCTCCAAGAAATGGACACTCAGCCTCTGCTTACAAATCTTCAGAGAAAGAGGCCACATCAGGTTCCAAGGCAGTGTATATTCCAATAGAGGTTGAAGGGATGCCCAGACCCCATCCAGTCCACCCACTTCTTCCATCCAAGCCCTTCCTAGAGATGGACACTCAGTCTCTGCTTACAAACCTCCAGTGAAGGAGGCTACACCAGGTTCCAAGGCAACGCATATTCCAATAGAGGTCAAAGGGACCCCCAAAGGCCATCCAGTCCACCCACTTCTTCCATCCAAGCCACCCCAACAGATGGACATCCAGCCTCTGCTCACAGACTTCCACAGGAGGCCACACCAGGTTCCAAGGCAACGCATATTCCAATATAGGTCAAAGGGACCCCCAAAGGCCATCCAGTCCTCCCACTTCTTCCATCCAAGTCCTCCCAAGAGATGGACATCCAGTCTCTACACTAAAATAGCCCAACCAGATTCCCATGCGGTTTATATTGCAGTAGAGGACAAAGGGACCCCCCAAAAGCCATCCAGTCCACCCACTACTTCCATCCAAGCCCTTCCAAGAGATAGACACTCAGCCTCTGCTTATAAATCTCCAGAGAAGAAAGCCACACCAGGTTCCAAGGCAATGTATATTCCAGTAGAGATCAAAGGGACCCCCAAAGGCCATCCAGTCCACCCACTTCTTCCATCCAAGCCACCCCAACAGATGGACATCCAGCATCTGCTCAAAGACTGCCAAACCAGCATCCCAACAGATAGACATCCAGCCTCTGCTTAATGACCTCCAGAGAAGGAGGCCACACCAGGTTCCAAGGCAATGTATATTCCAATAGAAGTTGAAGGGATCCCCAAAGGCCATCCATTCCACCCTCTCCTTCCATCCAAGCTCTCTCAACAGATGGGCATCCAGTCTCTATCCTAGTACAGCCCAACCAGATTCCCATGCAGTTTATATTGCAGTAGAGGACAGTTTATATTGCAGTAGAGACTTTGTATTTCTAGGTGCAAAGATTACTGCAGATGCAGACTGTGGCCAGGAAATCAGAAGACGCTTACTTCTTGGGAGGAGAGCAATGTCCAGTCGCGATAAAATAGTAAAGAGTAGAGACATCAGACTGGCAACAAAGATCCGCCTAGTCAAAGCCATGGTATTCCCTGTAGTAACCTACGGATGTGAGAGCTGGACCTTAGGGAAGGCTGAGCGAAGGAAGATCGATGCTTTTGAACTGTGGTGTTGGAGGAAAGTTCTGAGAGTGCCTTGGACTGCGAGAAGATCCAACCAGTCCATCCTCAGGAAATAAAGCCCGACTGCTCACTGGAGGGAAAGATACTAGAGACAAAGTTGAAGTACTTTGGCCACATCATGAGGAGACAGGAAAGCCTAGAGAAGACAATTATGCTGGGGAAAGTGGAAGGCAAAAGGAAGAGGGGCCGACCAAGGGCAAGATGGATGGATGGCATCCTTGAAGTAACTGACCTTGAGGGAGCTGGGGGTGGTAACGGCCGACAGGGAGCTCTGGCGTAGGCTGGTCCATGAGGTCACGAAGAGTCGGAGACGACTGAACGAATGAACAACAAGAGGACAAAGGGACCCCCAAAAGCCATCGAGTCCACCCACTACTTCCATCCAAGCCCTTCCAAGAGATAGACACTCAGCCTCTGCTTATAAATCTCCAGAGAAGAAAGCCACACCAGGTTCCAAGGCAATGTATATTCTAATTGAGGTTGAAGGGACTCCCAAAGGCCATCCAGTCCACCTACTTCCATCCAAGCCACCCCAACAGATGGGCATCCAGCATCTGCTCAAAGACTGCCAAACTGGCATCCCAACAGATGGACATCCAGCCTCTGCTCAAGGACCTCCAGAGAAGGAGGCCACACCAGGTTCCAAGGCAATAAATATTCCAACAGAAGACGAAGAGACCTCCGAAGGTGATCCAGCCCACCCACTACTTCCATCCAAGCCCTTCCTACAGATGGACACCCAGCGTCTGCTTACAAACCTCCAGAGAAAGAGACCACGCCTGGTTCCTAGGCAATGTATATTCCAGTAGAGTTAGAAGGGACCCCAAAGGCCATCCAGTCCACCTACTCCTTCCATCAAAGCCCTCCCAAGAGATGGCCATCAAGCCTCTACTTAAAGACGGCCAAACTGGATTCCCACGTAGGCTATATTCTAGTAGAGTTGGAAGTGAATCCCCAAAGGCCATCCAGTCCACCCTACTCCTTCTATCCAAGCCGTCCCAACAGATGGACACCCAGCCTTTGCTCAATAGACCTCCACAGAAGGAGGTCACACCAGGTTGCAAGGCAATGTATATTCCAATAGAGATCGAAGGGACCCCCAAAGCCATCCAGTCCACCCACTTCCATCCAAGCCACCCCAACAGATGGGCATCCAGCATCTGCTCAAAGACTGCCAAACCGGCATCCCAACAGATGGACATCCAGCCTCTGCTCAATGACCTCCAGAAAAGTAGGTCACGCCAGGTTCCAAGGCAATAAATAGTCCAACAGAGGTCGAAGGGACACCCAAAGGCCACCCAGTCGTCCTACTTCTTCCATCCAAGCCCTTCCTAGAGATGGACCCTCGGTCTCTGCTCAAATACCTCCAGAGAAGGAGACCACACCAAGTTCTAAGGCAATGTATGTTCCAGTAGAGTTGGAAGAGACCCCCAAAGGCCATCCAGTCCACCTACTCCTGCCATCAAAGCCCTTCCAAGAGATGGCCATTAAGCCTCTACTTAAAGACAGCCAAACTGGATTCCCAGGTAGGCTATATTCTAGTAGAGTTGGTAGTGAATCCCCAAAGGCCACACCAGGTTCCAAGGCAATGAATATTCCAACAGAAGTCGAAGGGACCCCCAAAGGCCATCCAGTCCACCCACTTCTTCCATCCAAGCCACCCGAACAGATGGGCATCCAGCATCTGCTAAAAGACCTCCAGAGAAGGCCATACCAGATTCCCAAGCAATGTATATTTCAATAGAGTTGGAAGGGACCTCCAAAGTACATCTAGTCCACCCACTTCTTCCATCCAAGCCCTCCCAAGAGATGGACACCCAGCCTCTGCTCAAAGACTTCCAGAGAAGGAGGCCACACTAGGTTCCAAGGCAATGTATATTTCAATAGAGTTGGAAGGGACACCCAAAGGACATCTAGTCTACCCACTTCTTCCAACCAAGCCCTCCCAAGAGATGGGTACCCAGCCTCTGCTTACAAACCTCCAGAGAAGGCCACACCAGATTCCCAAGCAATGTATATTTCAATAGAATTGGAAGGGACCTCCAAAGTACATCTAGTCCACCCACTTCTTCCATCAAAGCCCTCCCAAGAGATGGACATCCAGTCTCTGCTCAAAGACTGCCAGAGAAGACCACCACAAGGCAATGTATATTCCAGTAGAGGTCGAAGGGACCCCCAAAGGCCATCCCATCCACCCACTTCTTCCATCCAAGACTTTGTATTGTCTTATGGCATTGAATGTTTGGAAACCACCCTAGGGCAGGTTATAAATAAACGTATAATCATAATCATTACCATTATTATTATTATTATTATTATTATTATTATTATTATTCCCATGTATATAGCCATGAAATGAGAGGAAGTGGACTTGTTTCCTGCTGCCCTGGAGACTAGGACTCAATAGAGCCATGGGTTCAAATGACAGGAAAGGAGCATTAGGAAGAACTTCCTGACTGTAAGGAGAGCTGTTCAACAGTGGAACTCTCTGCCTCGGAGTGTGGTGAAAGCTTTTAAACAGAGGCTGTGTGGCCATCTGTGGGGGGGGGGGGCTTTGATTGTGCCTTTCCTGCATGGCAGAATGGGGTTGGACTAGGTGGCCCACGTGGTCTTTTCCAACTCTTGTTACTCTATGACTCTATGCTTCGTGCCAGGGGTCCTTACGGGGCAACATATGTGGGCTGATCAGCAGGTGCTCCATGGGCAACGTGGGCAACGGCTCAATGGCTCCGGGTGGAATTGCCGGCGGCGGCAGTGGCGGCATGGCTCCGGCGGGTTCGGTGAAGTTGGGCCCGCCGGTCTCGGCTACGGCGAAGGGGTCCGGCAGCGGAGGGGCCACGGCCGGGGCCTCGGGGGGCGGCAGGTGGGCGAAGGACCCATTTCCGCAGCTCTGGGAGAAGAGGGTCTCCTGCTTCAGCCACGGATACGGAGGCAGCGGCTCCACGCTGTGGGATGGATCTGGGACGGAAAGGAGAAAAAGCACATCAGGAAAAAAATTCAAAACTTTTTGAAACTTCTGAGACTTCCGAATCCTTTCGTTAATGGTTTGAAAGCGTTATTTCCTGTTTCACTGAGTGGTCTTAACTTTGAAAGTAGTGGTTTTACTCCAGAAGCGGGGAAAAGCAAGCAGAGGAAATTCCTTCCTGCTCTGGTTTAAAACTGGCTTCTCTGGCTTTAAAACTGGCTTCTCTGCATTGAGCCAATTCTAGGAAATTCCTTCCTTCTCTGGTTTAAAACCAGCTTCTCTGGTTTGAGCCAAGGCCAGAAACCAGAAGTGGGGGAAAGCAAATGGAGGAAATTCTTTCCTTCTCTGGTTTAAAACGGGCTTCCCTGGCTTGAGCCGAGGCCAGGGACCAGAAGCGGGGAAAAGCAAATAGAGGAAATTTCTTCCTGCTCTGGTTTAAAACTGGCTTCTCTGGATTTAAAACTGGCTTCTCTGGCTTGAGCTGAGACCAGGAAATTCCTTCCTTCTCTGGTTTAAAACTAGATTCTCTGGCTTTAAAAATGGCTTCTCTGGCTTGAGCCGAGGTCAGGAAATTTCTTCCTGCACTGGTTTAAAACTGGCTTCTCTGGCTTTAAAATTGGCTTCTCTGGCTTGAGCAAAGGCCAGGAAATTCCTTCCTTCTCTGGTTTAAAACTGGCTTCTCTGGCTTGAGCTGAGGCCAGGAAATTCCTTCCTTCTCTGGTTTAAAACTGGCTTCTCTGGCTTGAGCCGAGGCCAGGAAATTCCTTCCTTTTCTGGTTTAAAACTGGCTTCTCTGGCTTTAAAACTGGCTTCTCTGGCTTGAGCCGAGGCCAGGAAATTCCTTCCTTCTCTGGTTTAAAACTGGCTTCTCTGGCTTGAGCCGAGGCCAGGAAATTCCTTCCTTTTCTGGTTTAAAACTGGCTTCTCTGGCTTGAGCCAAGGCCAGGAAATTCCTTCTCTGGTTTAAAACTGGCTTCTCTGGCTTGCGCCGAGGCCAGGAAATTCCTCCCTTCTCTGGTTTAAAACTGGCTTCTCTGGCTTGAGCCGAGGCCAGGAAATTCCTTCCTTTTCTGGTTTAAAACTGGCTTCTCTGGCTTTAAAACTGGCTTCTCTGGCTTGAGCCGAGGCCAGGAAATTCCTTCCTTCTCTGGTTTAAAACTGGCTTCTCTGGCTTGAGCCAAGGCCAAGAAATTCATCCCTTCTCTGGTTTAAAACTGGCTTCTCTGGCTTGAGACGAGGCCAGGAAATTCCTTCCTTCCTTCTTTGGTTTAAAATTGGCTTCTCTGGCTTTAAAACTGGCTTCTCTGGCTTGAGCCGAGGCCAGGAAATTCCTTCCTTCTCTGGTTTAAAACTGGCTTCTCTGGTTTGAGCCGAGGCCAGGAAATTCCTTCCTTCTCTGGTTTAAAACTGGCTTCTCTGGTTTGAGCCGAGGCCAGGAAATTTCTTCCTGCTCTGGTTTAAAACTGGCTTCTCTGGTTTGAACCGAGGACAGGAAATTCCTTCCTTCTCTGGTTTAAAACTAGCTTCTCTGGCTTGAGCCGAGGTCAGGTCCAGAAGCGGAAAAGCAAATGGAGGAAATTCCTTCCTACTCTGGTTTAAAACTGGCTTCTCTGGCTTTAAAACTGGCTTCTCTGGCTTGAACCGAGGTCAGAAAATTCCTTCCTTCTCTGGTTTAAAACTGGCTTCTCTGGTTTGAGCCGAGGCCAGGAAATTTCTTCCTGCTCTGGTTTAAAACTGGCTTCTCTGGCTTGAGCCGAGGCCAGGAAATTCCTTCTTTTCTGGTTTAAAACTGGCTTCTCTGGCTTGAGCCGAGGCCAGGAAATCTCTTCCCTTTCTGGTTTAAAACTGGCTTCTCTGGCTTGAGCCGAGGCCAGGAAATTCCTTCCTCCTCTGGTTTAAAACTGGCTTCTCTGGCTTGAGCCGAGGCCAGGAAATTCCTTCCTTCTCTGGTTTAAAACTGGCTTCTCTGGCTTGAGCCGAGGCCAGGAAATTCCTTCCTGCTCTGGTTTAAAACTGGCTTCTCTGGCTTGAGCCGAGGCCAGGAAATTCCTTCCTGCTCTGGTTTAAAACTGGCTTCTCTGGCTTGAGCCGAGGGAAATTCCTTCCTGCTCTGGTTTAAAACTGGCTTCTCTGGCTTGAGCCGAGGTTAGGAAATTCCTTCCTGCTCTGGTTTAAAACTGGCTTCTCTGGCTTGAGCCGAGGTTAGGAAATTCCTTCCTGCTCTGGTTTAAAACTGGCTTCTCTGGCTTGAGCCGAGGTTAGGAAATTCCTTCCTTTTTTGGTTTAAAATTGGCTTCTCTGGCTTTAAAACTGGCTTCTCTGGCTTGAGCCGAGGTCAGGAAATTCCTTCCTGCTCTGGTTTAAAACTGGCTTCTCTGGCTTGAGCCGAGGTTAGGAAATTCCTTCCTGCTCTGGTTTAAAACTGGCTTCTCTGGCTTGAGCCGAGGTTAGGAAATTCCTTCCTTCTCTGTTTTAAAACTGGCTTCTCTGGCTTGAGCCAAGGTCAGGAAATTCCTTCCTTCTCTGGTTTAAAACTGGCTTCTCTGGCTTGAGCCAAGGCCAGGAAATTCCTTCCTTCTCTGGTTTAAAACTGGCTTCTCTGGCTTGAGCGAGGCCAGGAAATTCCTTCCTTCCTTCTGGTTTAAAACTGGCTTCTCTGGCTTTAAAACTGGCTTCTCTGGCTTGAGCCGAGGCCAGGAAATTCCTTTCTTCTCTGGTTTAAAACTGGCTTCTCTGGCTTGAGCCAAGGCCAGGAAATTCCTTTCTTCTCTGGTTTAAAACTGGCTTCTCTGGCTTGAACCGAGGCCAGGAAATTCCTTCCTTCTCTGGTTTAAAACTAGCTTCTCTGGCTTGAGCCGAGGTCAGGTCCAGAAGCGGAAAAGCAAATGGAGGAAATTCCTTCCTACTCTGGTTTAAAACTGGCTTCTCTGGCTTTAAAACTGGCTTCTCTGGCTTGAACCGAGGTCAGAAAATTCCTTCCTTCTCTGGTTTAAAACTGGCTTCTCTGGTTTGAGCCGAGGCCAGGAAATTTCTTCCTGCTCTGGTTTAAAACTGGCTTCTCTGGCTTGAGCCGAGGCCAGGAAATTCCTCCCTTCTCTGGTTTAAAACTGGCTTCTCTGGTTTGAGCTGAGGCCAGGAAATTCCTTCCTGCTCTGGTTTAAAACTGGCTTCTCTGGCTTGAGCCGAGGCCAGGAAATTTCTTCCTTCTCTGGTTTAAAACTGGCTTCTCTTGCTTGAGCCGAGGCCAGGAAATTCCTTCCTTCTCTGGTTTAAAACTGGCTTCTCTGGCTTGAGCCGAGGCCAGGAAATTCCTTCCTTCTCTGGTTTAAAACTGGCTTCTCTGGCTTGAGCCGAGGCCAGGAAATTCCTCCCTTCTCTGGTTTAAAACTGGCTTCTCTGGCTTGAGCTGAGGCCAGGAAATTCCTTCCTTCTCTGGTTTAAAACTGGCTTCTCTGGCTTGAGCCGAGGCCAGGAAATTCCTTCCTTCTCTGGTTTAAAACTGGCTTCTCTGGCTTGAGCTGAGGCCAGGAAATTCCTTCCTTCTCTGGTTTAAAACTGGCTTCTCTGGCTTGAGCCGAGGCCAGGAAATTCCTTCCTTCTCTGGTTTAAAACTGGCTTCTCTGGCTTGAGACGAGGCCAGGAAATTCCTTCCTTCTCTGGTTTAAAACTGGCTTCTCTGGCTTGAGCCGAGGCCAGGAAATTCCTTCCTTCTCTGGTTTAAAACTGGCTTCTCTGGCTTGAGCCGAGGCCAGGAAATTCCTTCCTGCTCTGGTTTAAAACTGGCTTCTCTGGCTTGAGCCGAGGCCAGGAAATTCCTTCCTGCTCTGGTTTAAAACTGGCTTCTCTGGCTTGAGCCAAGGTCAGGAAATTCCTTCCTGCTCTGGTTTAAAACTGGCTTCTCTGGCTTGAGCCGAGGTTAGGAAATTCCTTCCTTTTTTGGTTTAAAATTGGCTTCTCTGGCTTTAAAACTGGCTTCTCTGGCTTGAGCCGAGGTCAGGAAATTCCTTCCTTCTCTGGTTTAAAACTGGCTTCTCTGGCTTGAGCCGAGGTTTGGAAATTCCTTCCTGCTCTGGCTGTAAAACTGGCTTCTCTGGCTTGAGCAGAGGTTAGGAAATTCCTTCCTTTTTTGGTTTAAAATTGGCTTCTCTGGCTTTAAAACTGGCTCCTCTGGCTTGAGCCGAGGTCAGGAAATTCCTTCCTTCTCTGGTTTAAAACTAGCTTCTCTGGCTTGAGACCATTATCAAACACACCTGCAATAGTCAGCATCGGCATCATTTTGGGCAGCTATTATTATTATTGTTATTATTGTTATTATTGTTATTATTATTGTTGTTGTTGTTATTATTATTATTATTACCATTATCAAAACATACCTATTGTTATTATTGTTGTTGTTGTTGTTATTATTATTATTATTATTATTATTATTACCATTATCAAAACATACCTGCAATACTCAGCATCGGCATCATTTTGGCAGCTATTATTATTATTATTATTATTATTATTATTATTATTATTATTACCATTATCAAAAATGCACCTGCAATACTCAGCATCGGCATCATTTTGGGCAGCTATTATTATTATTATTATTATTATTATCAAAACACACCTGCAATACTCAGCATCAGCATCATTTTGGACAGTTATTATTATTATTATTATTATTATTATTATTATTATTATTACTATTATCAAAACATACCTGCAATACTCAGCTTCAGCATCATTTTGGACAGTTATTATTATTATTATTATTATTATTATTATTATTATTATTATTATTATTATTACCATTACCAAAACACACCTGCAATACTCAGCATCGGCATCATTTTGGCAGCTATTATTATTATTATTATTATTATTATTACTATTATCAAAACATACCTGCAATACTCAGCATCAGCATCATTTTGGACAGTTATTATTATTATTATTATTATTATTATTATTATTATTATTACCATTATCAAAACATACCTGCAATACTCAGCATTGGCATCATTTTGGACAGTTATTATTATTATTATTATTATTATTATTATTATTATTATTATTATTATTACCATTATCAAAACATACCTGCAATACTCAGCTTCGGCATTATTTTGGACAGTTATTATTATTATTATTATTATTATNATTATTATTACAAAACACTGCAATACTCAGCATGCACCTGCAATACTCAGCATCGGCATCATTTTGGGCAGCTATTATTATTATTATTATTATTATTATCAAAACACACCTGCAATACTCAGCATCAGCATCATTTTGGACAGTTATTATTATTATTATTATTATTATTATTATTATTATTATTACTATTATCAAAACATACCTGCAATACTCAGCTTCAGCATCATTTTGGACAGTTATTATTATTATTATTATTATTATTATTATTATTATTATTATTATTATTATTACCATTATCAAAACATACCTGCAATACTCAGCTTCGGCATTATTTTGGGCAGCTGCAAAGGAAGACACCTGCGTTAGCGACGGAGAGATGCAGTATCACCTGGCAGAGACATTGGGTGCGTCTACATTGGAGGATGAATGCAGTTTGACCCCACTTCTGCCACGGCTCAATAACATGGACTTCTGGGAGTTGTAGTCCCACCAGGTCTTGAGCCTCCTCTGCCAAAGAGTGCTGGGGCCTCACTAAACTACAACTCCCAGGACATAAACCCGTGGGGCTGCTTCTCACCACTTCCTCATCTTCACAGTAGGCTTGGTCGTCTCCAATATAGGAGTCTGAAAAGCAAAAAAAAAATAAAAAAAATAAAAAAGATAAATTGATTGATTGATTGATCGATTGATTGATTGATAGAATTGTAGTGTCCAGAGATAGCCCACTGAGTTTATAGTTTCTGATGGCACCGCTAACACTCCGGTCGTGCCATCCTGTACAAACCCCATTCCGTCAGGCAGGAAGACACCATCTAAGCCCTCCCAACAGATGGCCATCCAGCCTTTGTTATGATTATCGTAATGAGTTGGAAGCAACCCCGAAGGCTATCTAGTCTAGCCCTTCTGTCAGGTAGGAAGACACAATCAAATGACTCCCAACAGATGGCCATCCAGCCTCTGTTATGATTGGAAGGGACCCCTGAAGGCCATCCAGTCCAGCCCTTCTGTTAGGCAAGAAGACACCATCCAAGCCCTCCCGACAGATGGCCATCCAGCCTTTGTTATGATAATCGTAATCAGTTGGAAGCAACCCCGAAGGCTATCTAGTCTAGCCCTTCTGTCAGTAGGAAGACACAATCAAATGACTCCCAACAGATGGCCATCCAGCCTCTGTTATGATTGGAAGGGATCCCTGAAGGCCATCCAGTCCAGCCCTTCTGTTAGGCAGGAGGACACAATCAAAGCACTCCCTACAGATGGCTATCCAGCCTCTCTTATGATAACACTATGTAATACATTTCTTGTTCCTGGGTTGTAAATGTCAATCATAAAAACATGGGAAAAGTTCATTAAACTCCAAAAACTCTGTCCTTTTGAGACATTCTGCTATAACACATTATATTATATTATTATATTACAATAATATTAATTATTATATCATAGGATTGTTATTGTATCATAATTATATCATATTATTAAATGTTGTTACATTGTGTAATTACAATATGTCGGAAGGGACCCCCAAAGGCCATCTAGCCCAGCCTATTTGTACCAATCAGAAAGACACCATTCAAGCACACCCTACAGATGGCCATCCAGACTTCGTTATTATATTACAGGATTGTTATTGAATCCTAATTATATTATATAATTATATAATTTAATATATTATAATATTATATATAATTACAATATATTACGATATACATTATATTATATTATTAAATGATTGTTATTGTATCATAATTATAGTATATTATTATACAGTTATAATATATTATTATATATAATATATAAAATATAAATTATATTATATTTTTAAATATTGTTACATTGTGTAATTATAATGTGTCGGAAGGGACCCCCAAAGAACATCCAGCCCAGCCTATTTGTACCGATCAGATGGACACAATCCAAGCACACCCTACAGATGGCCCTCCAGACTTTGTTATTATATTACAGGATTGTTATTGAATCATAATTATATAATTACAATATATTACAATATAAATTATATTATATTTTTAAATATTGTTACATTGTGCAATTATAATATGTTGGAAAGGTCCCCTAAAGGCCATCTATTTGTAACGATCAGATGGACACCATCCAAGCACACCCTACAGATGGCCATCCAGACTTTGTTATGATAATCATAATGAGTCAAGAGCTTCACCCAACCTTGCAGAGTCCTTTTCTCTGCAAGGCAGGAGCACACAATCGAATCCCTCCCGACAGAGGGCCAGCCTGCCTCAAACCCAGGCTTTGCATGTTACATAAGATGGTGCAAACCTTGCAGAGCCCTTTTCTCTGCAAGGCAGGAGCACACAATCGAATCCCTCCTGACAGATGGCCAGCCTGCCTCAAACCCAGGCATAAGACGGTGCAAATGTCGGGGGAGCGGTCATCACCTCCATTGGACGGCTGGGTCGGGGCCTCGCAGACCTCGTAGATCTTGTAGGGCTGCAAGGGGGTGTCCTTGGTGCCGTCGTAGATGAGGCCGAACTCGCGGCTCTTGTTCAGGGCGCAGCGCAGGTTGGCCTTCCACTTGGCCGGGTCCGGCTCGTCCAGCCCTTCGTTGAACTTCCCCGTCTCCTTGGCCCATGCCTGGCAAACACAAACACCATGCAAAACTCGCATTTAAGGCAGGGAAGCCCGAAAAGGGAGAAAAAATGCTATATATACAATCTGGGGAGTTGTAGTTTTAAAAGGTCTCCAGGAAACTACAACTCCCAGGACCTCATAACCATGGCAGTTCAAGCGGGAGGGCCAAAACTGCATTAATTCTGAACGTTTATACTGGGAAGACCCCACATAAATATAAATGCAAATGCAAATGCAAATATAAATATAAATATAAATGCAAAAATATAAATATAAATGCAAATGCAAATATAAATATAAATGCAAATATAAATATAAATGCAAATGCAAATGCAAATGCAAATGCAAATATAAATATAAATATAAATATAAATATAAATATAAATGCAAATGCAAATGCAAATGCAAATGCAAATGCAAATGCAAATATAAATATAAATATAAATATAAATATAAATATAAATATAAATATAAATATAAATATAAATATAAATGCAAATGCAAATGCAAATGCAAATGCAAATACAAATACAAATACAAATACAAATACAAATATAAATATAAATATAAATATAAATATAAATATAAATATAAATGCAAATGCAAATGCAAATGCAAATGCAAATGCAAATGCAAATGCAAATGCAAATGCAAATATAAATATAAATATAAATATAAATATAAATATAAATGCAAATGCCAATGCAAATGCAAATGCAAATGCAAATGCAAATATAAATATAAATGCAAATATAAATATAAATATAAATATAAATATAAATATAAATATAAATATAAATGCAAATGCAAATGCAAATGCAAATATAAATATAAATATAAATATAAATATAAATATAAATGCAAATGCAAATGCAAATGCAAATATAAATATAAATGCAAATATAAATATAAATATAAATATAAATATAAATGCAAATGCAAATGCAAATGCAAATATAAATATAAATACAAATATAAATATAAATATAAATATAAATATAAATGCAAATGCAAATGCAAATGCAAATGCAAATGCAAATATATATGATGTTCGAAGAGACCCCCAAAGGCCATCTAGTCCAACCACCTTCTGATAAGCAGGAAGGCACAATTCAAGCCTTCCCAACAGATGGACATCCAGCCTCTGCTTGAAAACCTCCAGAGAAGGAAACCAGGCGGTCTATATCCACAAAACACACACACACACACACACAGAAAAAGCAGCCCACATTGTGCTTGTATCATATGGACACAGAGTTGGAAGAGACTCCTAAAGGCCATCCGAACCAACCCCAAGTGCCATGCAGAAAGACACCATCCAAGCCCTCCTGACAGATGGCCACCCAGCTTCTATTATGATAATTTTAATGAATTTGAAGGGACCCCCAAAGGCCATCTAGACCAATCTCAGGAAGACACTATCCAAGCCCTCCTGACAGATGGCCATCTAGCCTCTGTTTTGAGAATCATTATGAGTTGGAAGGGACGTCTAAAGGCCATCCAGACCAACCTCAGGAGGACAGAATCCAAGCCCTCCCGATAGATGGCCATCCAGCCTCTGTTTTGAGAATCCTAATGAGTTGGAGGGGACCCCCAAAGGCCATCTAGACCCACCTCAGGAAGACACAATCCAAGCCCTCCTGACAAATGGCCATCCAGCCTCTGTTTTGAGAATCATAATGAGTTGAAAGGAACCCTAAAGTCTATCCAGACCAACCTCAGGAAGACACAATCCAAGCCCTCCCAACAGATGGCCACCCAGCCTCCATTTTGATAATCATTATGTGTTGGAAGGGACCCCCAAAGGCCATTCAGACTAACTTCGGGAAGACACAATCCAAGCCTTCCTGAAAGATGGCCATCCAGCCTCCGTTAAGAGAATCATAATGACTTGGAGGGGATCCCTAAAGGCCATGCAAACAACCTCAGGAAGACACAATCCAAGCCCTCCCGACAGATGGCCATCCAGCCTCTGTTTTAATAATCATAATGAGTTGGAGGGGACCCCTAAAGGCCATCCAGACCAACCTCAGGAGGACACAATCCAAGCCCTTTTGACAGATGGCCACCCAGCCTCTGTTATGAGAATCATAATGAGTTGGAAGGGACTCTAAAGGACATCCAGACCAACCTCAAGACACAATCTAAGCCTTCCTGATCCAGCTTCTATTATGATAATTTAAATTTGAAGAGACCCCCAAAGACCATCTAGACCAACCTCAGGAAGACACAATCCAAGACTTCCCGAAAGATGGCCATCGAGCCTCCGTTAAGAGAATCATAATGATTTGGAGGGGATCCCTAAAGGCCATGCAAACAACCTCAGGAAGACACAATCCAAGCCCTCCCGACAGATGGCCATCCAGCCTCTGTTTTGAGAATTGTCATGAGTTGGAAAGGACCCCTAAAGGACATCCAGAAAACCTCAGGAAGACACAATCCAAGCCCTCCCGCCAGATGGCCATCCACCTTCTATTATGATAATTTTAATGAATTTGAAGGGACCCCCAAAGGCCACCTAGACCAACCTCAGGAAGACACAATCCAAGCCCTGCCAATAGATGGCCATCCAGACTCTGTTTTGAAAATCATGAGTTGAGGGGATCCCTAAAGGCCATTCAGACCAACCTCAGGAAGACACAATCCAAGCCCTACTGACAGATGGCCATTTAAGCCTCCATTATGAGAATCATGAGTCAGAAAGGACACCCAAAGACCATCCAGACCAACCTCAGGAAGACACAATCCAACCCCTCCCGACAGATGGCTATCCATCCTCCGTTTTGATAATCATAATGAGTTGGAAGGGACCCCCAAAGGCCATCCAGTCCCTACAAATTCGACATATCAGAGTCCAGCATGAGATGAATGCCTCATTTTAGCACCAACTGATCCCGGAAAGGTAGGACTAGACGGCCCATGCGGTCTCTTCCAACTTGTCTAGTCTATAAGGCTGGACGACACAATGCAAGCCCTCCTGACAGATGGCCACTCAGCCTTGGCTAAAGTGCAAAGGTCAGGGTGGCGTCCTTGCCTTGAAGATGGTGTTCTCGTCGTCCTGGGCGGGGATGTGTCGCGTGGCGTGGCGCCAGGGGATGCAGAAGCGCTTCCGCTCGGTGTCCACCCAGTGCAAGCCCGGGAACTGACCGCTGTCCACTTGGGCCACCAGCCAGGGCTTCAGGCGGATGCGGCGCGGGTGGGAGCTCATGGCAACGCTTCCAATGCCACCTGCAAGGAGGAGGAAGTGGAGAGGGTCAGCAAGGTCCACCTGTGTCACTTTGGAAGGAGAAACGCAATGCAACGCCACTCCTGGAATGCCAGACCTTCCCCTGGTCAGTGCTATTCCTTCCTGACGCTTCATCCGATTGCACGCTGCAACAGACACATTTTCTGTTCCTGGTTTGCAAGGCTTGTTTCCTGTTTCGTTGTGCGCTCCGGACTTTGAAAGCACTGATTCGACTCCAGAAACCGTTTGTTTTCGTGCCGGAAATTCTGTCGAATGGGTTGAGACTCAATGACGAGATACTCATTGCAAAACTAAACCAGGACGTTTATGCAAAAGCAAAGTTTTGTGGAGTTTAATAAACTTTCCCTATGTTTTTTTTTAATGATAGGACCAATTAGGAAATGGCACTGAGAACCCAGGAACAAAGACAGGGCAAGAGAGTGCTGCTGCTGTTGTTATGATTGATTATTGATTATTGATACCCAGGCTGAAAAGCGGGTTACGTTTAAAAGCATGGCAACGCAATTGGAAAACCTACAGGTATACGAACATTGAAGCAGACTTAAATATCATTTCAATTAATTAATGAATAATTAAATTGATATTTAATATCAAATTAATATTTAATTTAAATTGATATTTAATATCAAATTAATAATATTAATTAATTAATTTGATATTTAATTATTCATTAATTTGTTAATTAATTTGATATTTAATTAATTAATTATTTGATATTTAATTATTCATTAATTCGTTAATTAATTTGATATTTAAATTAACAAATTAATGAATAATTATATATCAAATTAATGAATAAATAATTAGATATCAAATTAATGAATAAATAATTAAATATCAAATTAATGAATGAATTAATGGAGAATTAAACATCAAATAAATTAATGAATTAATGGATAATTAAATATCAAATTAATTAATGGATAATCAAATATCAAATTAATGAATTAATTAATAATTAAATATCAAATGAATTAATGAATTAATGGATAATTAAATATCAAATTAATGAATTAATAATTAAATATTAAATTAATAAATAAATAATTAAACATCAAATTAATGAATGAATTAATGGAGAATTAAACATCAAATTAATTAATGAATTAATGGATAATTAAATATCAAATTAATGAATTAATAATTAAATATCAAATTAATGAATTAATAATTAAATATCAAATTAATGAATGGATAACTAAATATCAAATTAATGAATAAATAATTAAATACCAATTTAATGAATTAATAATAAATATTAAATTAATTAATAAATAATTAAATATCATATTTATTAATGAATTAACGAATAATTAAATATCAAATTAAAAAATTAATAATTAAATATTAATTCAATTAATTTAATATAAATTACGATAGTACGTCTATGCCAATACCCTCACTGATTGATTTTGCAAACTTCATGGCTACTCAATGCTCATTGCAATGTTTACACTAACTTCGAACAGACAAGGGTTCTTTCTCCCACTCTGGACATCATTCCACGGAGGGTGCCTCCAGGCAACAACAGTCAGGCTACCTCTATGCAGATAAATAATAATAATAATAATAATAATAATAATAATAATAATACTTTATTTATATACCGCTCTATCTCCCCGAGGGGACTCAGAGCGGTTCCCAGGTAAAAATTACAGAACATACAAAGTAAAAACAACGTAACCATAAGATTAACAAAACAAAATATGCATAAAAATTGTCGACATAACAGACATATATTAAAAGATACCCTCACTGATTGACTTCGCAAACTTCATGGCTATTCAATGCTGTTCAAGCTTGCTCACTGCAATGTTCACACTAGCTTCCAACAGACAAAGGTTCTTTCTCCCAAACATGAGCATCATTCCACAGAGGGCACCTCCAGGCAACAGCCAGGCTACCTTTATGCAGATACCCTCACTGATTGGCTTTGCAAACTTCATGGCTATTCAATGCTGTTCAAGCTTGCTCACTGCAATGTTCACACTAGCTTCCAACAGACAAAGGTTCTTTCTTCCAACCATAGACATCAATCCACAGAGGGTGCCTCCAGGCAACAACAGCCAGGCTACCTCTATGCAAATACCTTCACTGATTGGCTTTACAAACATCATGGCTACTCAATGCTACTCAATGCTATTCAAGCTTGCTCATTGAAATGTTCACACTAGCTTCCAAGAGACAAAGTTTATTTCTCTCACCGTCAACATCATTCCACAGAGGGTGCCTCCAGGCAACAACAGCCAGGCTACCTTCCTGAGAATACCCTCCCTGATTGACTTTGCAAACTTCTTGGCTACTCAGTGCTATTCAAGCTTGCTCATTGCAATGTTTACAATAACTTCGAACAGACAAGGGTTCTTTCTCCCAACCATGGACATCATTCCACAGAGGGTGCCTCCAGGCAACAACAGCCAGGCTACCTCTATGCAAATACCCTTGCCGATTGGCTTTACAAACGTCATGGCTACTCAATGGTATTCAAGCTTGCTCATGGCAACGTTTACACTAGCTTCGAACAGACAAAAGGTTCTTTCTCCCAACCATGGACATCTTTCCACAGAGGGCGCCTCCAGGCAACAACAGCCAGGCTACCTCCATGCAAATACCTTCACTGATTGGCTTTACAAACATCATGGCTACTCAGTGATATTCAAGGTTGCTCATGTCAACGTTCGCACTAGCTTCGAACAGAGAAAAGGTTCTTTCTCTCACCATGGACATCATTCCACAGGAAGTGCCTCAAGGCAACAACAGCCAGGCTACCTCTATGCAAATACCCTCACCGATTGGCTTTGCAAATTTCATGGCTACTCAATGCTATTAAAGCTTGCTCATTGCAAGGGTCACACTAGCTTCCAACAGACAAAGTTTCTTTCTCTCACTATGGACATCATTCCATGGAGGGTGCCTCCAGGCAACGCCAGGCTAACGCTATGCAGATACCCTCACTGATTGGCTTTGCAAATTTCATGGCTACTCAATGCTATTCAAGCTCGCTCATTGCAACGTTCACACTAGCTTCGAACAAACAAAGGTTTTTTTCCTCATCCTAGACACCATTCCACAGGGAGTGCCTCCAGGCGACAACAGCCAGGCTACCTCTATGCAGATACCCTCACTGATTGACCTTGCAAACTTCATGGCTACTCAGTGCTATTCAAGCTTACTCATTGAAATGTTCATACTAGCTTCCAAGAGACAAAGTTTCTTTCTCTCACCGTGGACATCATTCCACAGGGAATGCCTCCAGGCAACAACAGCCAGGCTACCTCTCTGTGAATACCCTCACTGATTGACTTTGCAAACTTCATGGCTACTGAAAGTTATTCAAGCTTGCTCCACAGATACTTATACACCCCACTTGCCTCATTTCAAACAATGCTCTGAAGATGCCATTACCCACAGATGCAGGTAAAATGTCAGGAGAGAATGCTGCTGGAACATGGTCAGACAGCCCGAAAAAAAAATCACAGCAACCCATTCACAGTTAAAATCCATTGAGTGCTAAAAAACCACCGCACCCCCTGACTCGAGAGTTCCTCTTCTGCATGACGTGGCAAGATGTGCATCCCACACGAGAAGCCCTGCAGAGGTGACGGCAATCTCCCCGGATTACTCAAAAAGCCTCCGATTCTGGTTCCACAAGTGCAGCTGGAGACGGAAAAATACGGCGGGGACGTCCCTGGCATCACAAAGACATCGAGAAGGGTTGAGAAGCCATTTGCTGGCCATGTTTCCCATTTCCCAAGGCCCCAAAATGCCTTAAAAGTGACCCAATTTGGCCTTAACCCGTAAAAGCTAAGCCGGGTCGGCCTTGGTCGGGATTTGGATGGGAGACCGTCAGTCAATAACCAGGGCTTGAGGCTGTATTTATCTTCAAGGAAGGAACTCACAAAAGCATCTCTTTGAAAATCCTATTTCTGAAAGTCATCCGATCCTAGCTGATCCTGGAAAAGCTAAGTGGGGTTGGCCTTGGTCGGGATTTGGATGGGAGACCGTCCGTCAATAACGAGGCTTGAAGCTGTATTTATCTTCAAGGAAGGAAATCACAAAAGCATCTCTTTGAAAATCCTATTTCTGAAAGTCACCCAATCCTAACTGATTCTGGAAAAGCTAAGCCGGGTTGGCCTTGGTCGGGATTTGGATGGGAGACCGTCCGTCAATAACCGGGGCTTGAGGCTGTATTTATCTTCAAGGAAGGAAATCACAAAAGCATCTCTTTGAAAATCCTATTCTTGAAAGTCACAATCCTAACTGATTCTGGAAAAGCTAAGCCGGGTCGGCCTTGGTCGGGATTTGGATGGGAGACCGTCCGTCAATAACGGGGGCTTGAGGCTGTATTTATCTTCAAGGAAGGAACTCACAAAAGCATCTCTTTGAAAATCCTATTTCTGAAAGTCATCCGATCCTAGCTGATCCTGGAAAAGCTAAGCCGGGTCGGCCTTGGTTGGGATTTGGATGGGAGACCATCCGTCAATAACCGGGGCTTGAGGCTGTATTTATCTTCAAGGAAGGAACTCACAAAAGCATCTCTATAAAAATTCTATGTCTGAAAGTCACCCGATCCTAGCTGATCCTGAAAAAGTTAAGCTGGGTTCAGCCCTGGTTGGGACTTGGATGGGAGACCGCTAATGAATAACCAGCGCTTGAGGTTGTATTTATCTTAAAGGAAATCACAAAAATTCCTCTAAGGGTTTCTTGTGAAAACCCTATTCTCTAAAGGCATCAGACCCCAGCTGTTCCTGAAAAAGCTAAGCCGGGTCAGGCCTGGTTGGGACTTGGAAGGGAGACCGCCCATGAATGAATCCTAGGTATGTACTTATCTTAAAGGAACTCACAAAAGGAACTCTAAGGATTCCCTGTGAAAATCCTATTTCTGAAAGTCACCCAATCCTAACCAATCCTCCAAGCTAAGCTGGGTCGGCCTTGGTTGGGATTTGGATGGGAGACCGCCAGTAAATAACTGGCGTTTGAA